AGTTGTTGTTTTTGCATTATATAGCTCGGAACATTATTGTTGTATTGAATGTTATTAATAAGTGGTAATTTTTTCACTAATGTTAAAAAAAAACAACCTGTTTCTTATTATTTGTGCATGTGGACATCCAGATTTGGTCTTAACATATGTAGACCCTGCTCAATGACTGTGCTGAATTGCTCTTCTCTGTCTTGATTTGTCTGTGGGTCTAGTCTGACCTAACAAAAAACAGGGCAAGTTCACACCAGAACTGTATCAGAACTGCGTGTGTTTGCATTTGTGACTTGTTTTTGCCGCGTTGCGGTGCTGTTTTTTTTTAGCCTAAAATGGGCTTTTAGGTGCAGCTCAGTGCGTTTGCATGCATTTTTGATGCGTTCCATTATGATCAGGAGCAGCTAAAATGTGGCAAGCAGGATTTTTTTCTGACTGCACTGGTGTGAAGGGAGCACCAGAAATCCCATTGGAAAGCATTGTGAAGCGATTTTGATGCAGCTGCCAAACCGAACGGACTGCATCACAACTGTATCTGGTGTGAGCTAGCCCTAGCTGTGTTGAGAGAAATATTTAGACTTCCACAACTGACCCGTCCTCTAAGCACCTGGCTGTCATGCATATCCAATGGCTTTAATATTTCAGTGGCTCAAAAATTATTGCAGTCAAAGACAGACAGGATATTAGTATTTTCTGAAAGAGGTCAGTACTGGATACCTACACATTTCTCTCAGTACAAGTGAGTTTAACTTTTAAATTATATCTAAACCCAAGAACAAAAATATAATATATTGCAGGTTAACAGTCCTTAGATGTGGTGGCTGCATTTGTTTTCTTTCTTTCAGGCCAGTTACATTTTCAGAAAGCATTGACAAATCCATTTTGATCCTGCCAGGATTCCAGAGTGCTTGTAACTTCCTGTGCACTGAACTGAAATCTCAAACTATTTTATCTGCTCTTACCAGTTTTATTCCGTGACTTACAGAACACCTCCCCTCTATGGTATGGAGATAAGGAGAGGGGGAGGTGTTCTGGATCAAGAGAGCAGCCTAGGTGACAAAGGTGCTCTTCTATAGATAAAGCACAGTGAGTGAACGTTGTCATGCATAGAACAGGAAGTGGGTTACTGGCAGGATCACAGGTAAAAAGTAAGTTGTGTCATAAGTTGAAGGAGAGCAGATATCTTCTTTAACCTCTGTAATTTTGTACAACTTTGTAAAATGTCTTCAATAAAAATTAGGGATCGGTGCTGATACTGGACATTTTCACGAGTATGTGAAATGACTGCAGTGGATCAGAGACCGGCACCAGCACTGGAAGGACTTTGAAAAATGAGTGGAAGGAAGAAGCTGTTCTGATCAAGAGGCATCACACAAGGTAAGTCCATAAAGCAGTATGGGGGGGATTCTAGCTTTAATTCCACTTTAAACTATAGAATCATAGTATATACACTATTACATTATGCTATTCAAATGAGAACAAATCTGTGACTAAAATATAATATTTGAAATATACTACAAGAAGCAATTACAAATTTGCATATCTGTGGAAATTGTGTTCTTTTTGTAAATATGGTTTGATATTGAAAGACTCAAAGAGACTGAAACCACATCGAATTTTGTGTAATGCAATAAAAAGTCTACTTGGTGAAGGTTATATCAGGTTTTGAGTACATTTTTGGAGACAAAGGAGATCCTTGGTTAATATGCACCTTCATTGAGTTCTGGTTGCCATCAGGCAATGATGAGTTGGCATCATAGGAGGCAAAAGGTGACAATGCCTCCCCAAACTTAATTATGCACTTTTCTCAGGCATGGGTTTCAGCCAGGGTCCATATAAAGCCAGAAAATGTGTGTATTCATTTTATTCATTGGTAGGTTTCTGAATATGGAATGTTTTCAAAATATTTCTTCTAAACCCTTAGTGTCCATTCACACTAACAGACATGTGTTATGGTGCGTATAACAAGCACGCGCTGGTGCTGTTGTGCAGCTGTGGTGCAGTGTGTTGTAACATTGCATTGCGGTATTGTTGCAACACACTGTGGTGAGTTGCTGGTGTGCGCAGAGCACATAGAGAACCATTATTCACTCAGTGAACTTGCATTGAGCTTACATTGATTTAGCTGATCAACTCAGCTCAATGCACATGGTATAAACAACCCATTACTCAGAAGTCAGATGTTGGGCGACCTAAGTGCAAATAATGGAAGTGCTCTAAAAGTTAAGAAAGTGGCATCTTAAAAATAGACAATGTGGCATGCCAGCTACAAGCCAGTGAGACTAGAAGGTTCTCTTCCCATTCAATGGAAGCACAATATAAAACATTGATACTTCATCTCAGTTCCCGGACCCACAAGACCAATGTTATGAGAAACTTAATCTGCAACAATAACTGGGCGCAATTTGGGGACACAAATAAGCTTTTTTGCTGAGCATATTTCTTGATGTAACATATTATTTAACCTTGTCTTTTTATACACTATACTGTTGTGAACTATGGTTAATATTATCTTATTGCGGATGTCAATCTTCTTTTGCTGACCTCTTTCTGGACTTGCTAGTTTTTTTAGTATCCTAATCTGCATACTTGTTGAGTCAATGACTTCATTAGCACTTAAACTGTTGGATTAGCATGACAGTCAAGAACTCAGCATTCTTCAGAAGGGGTGGTCAACAATGGCAGCTTCTGTACTTCCACACAGCTTTTTGTTTTTAAAGGTAAAAGATAAAGCAGAGTACACGGGATAATGAAAATAAACACCTTTTAATGAGGAACTGAATGGAATAAAATGCACTTGCAAAGTGTAAACCTGGTCAGAACATGTAACCAGGCACATAACTCTTATCTAGGAACAGGGCGCATGTACAGGCACAAACTATCCCTTTATGATAGATCTGCAGCAGGAGAATAGGATAGGATGTATAAGTTGTAAAGAGCTCAGAGCACCAAAAGTAATGTCCCAAAACTCACCCAGAGATGTAAATACCAAATTGAGACCGATTAGGCGTTCTAAATAAGTAAAAAACCTTCACTGACATATTTTCACAGGCTTATAATATCAGCATCCTCCTGATTATTTTTACCTCAGGATTTTGCTTTAAAATGAGAAGCTGTATATAAGAAATAAACATTTTAATTTGGGTGCGTCATCAAGCCACCCTAATAGCATTAGAGAATCACCTGCACTCCATACAGCGTTTAAACCATAAGCAATGTCCATTGGTGATTGATCATTGAGTGCTGGTGACTATCTTCATCAAGCCACCCTAGGCTCATAGGATAATGATACAGATAAAAGCATCCTTGTCACTATGCGGCACAGTTCTCAGTATCTTTGAGGGCATGCAACTGCTGCAGGAAGAAAAGAAAGTGGACACCAGGATGTCACATGGACAAACCAGCTAAAAAAAAAAACAATGCAGGAGATGTTCTTAGGAAGGGTGTGTGTGGGGCAGGGGGTGTCTGCTAAACCTGGAACTCTTTTAGGCCAACCTGGTCCAAGCAAAAGTAGCAGGTTCAGTCCAAGTTTATATTTATTTCCCTGACCTGCTTCAAGAAAGGTGCACAACATAACACTTTGCCTTGTATTTATCAGTGCAATGTTTCATGTCTGAATGGCCCATTAGCAGGCCTGAATGCTCTGGGCGTAAGAGGAAACACACATAACCCAGAACAGGTTTCTTGATACTTGCACAGGTATTTCTGCAAATTAGGGCAGCAGTGAAGTGTTGTAAAGGTAAGTATGGACTCTTAGTGGGGTCTACTGTCAAGTGAACCTGTTACTTTTCCTAGTCCAGGCAGAGCAAAGGTTCACATTAAGCACCATCTGTAAAATGCGAAATTAGATTATTGTTTTAAATGTAGGTCTTACACAATGTTTTAAACACTATGGAGGGGATTTATCAAAACTGGAGCAGACAAAATCTGGAGCAGTTGTCCATGGCAACCAATCAGCTTCTGTCTTTCATTTTCAAATCTTAACTGAACAAACTGAAGAGAAAAGCTGATTGGTTGCCATGTACAGCTGCTCTAGATTTTGTCTGCTCCAGTTTTGATAAATCCCTTCTATGTATATCTAAACATAATGATTAGAGATCTGTTCCCTAAGCCCTGCATTATGTTTGTATTTTCAATGTTTTGCATGGCCTCTCTCTGTGCTGTGCTCAGGAGTTCTCTGTTTCACTCAGCTAGAGTAGGAGTTGGGTCCAGAGTAAGGTTTCTGGGGTGTGGCATGGAGAGCGCTGCCTGTTTGTTTGTTGACTGGCCAATCCCTGGTGATTTTGTTGCCAGTGGGCTGGATCTTGTTTTAACACACAGACCAAACACAGTTCTGGAAGGGCCCTTGGCTAGTAGGCTGTATGCCTTGTTGCAAGTCACTGGTCTGAGGCCCTGGGCCTAGAAGCTTGGACCTTTTTCAGGCTATGTGCCTAAAGAGACAGTGGAATGTGAAGCCGCAGTCAGAAGTAGAGTACACTCTGAGACCTGATATTTTGTGTAGAGCTACTTTAGCCTGCTTTGTACTTCTAGAGTTGAACCCCTCCCAGACACTGTCAACCATAAGAATTAGTAAGTGCCAGGCATTTGGGTATTGTACCTTTTCCTATAAGTCATGCAATAGTACCTTTTAAAAAAAGCACCTAAGGACTAATCCTGCATTACTGCATCAAATGAAGTGAACTGCCAGGAACAGGGTGTTCTCAGAATGGGGTCCCACCTGCAAGCTCAATGCCCTTCTGAGTGAAGGGACTGAACTAGAGAGAATTCAGGAAAGTCCCCTGTTTCCCACCTATGCAGAGGCTCAGTCTTCTGGTTTACTCAGGTGCTACAGAGAGTTTGTGGGTGTAAACTGCCAGTAGAGAGTCATCTCACATGACCCCTCTCCACCCAAACATGATTACATTCAGATTATTTACAAATCAGATACTCAGAACATGTAGGTTTTTAGTTATTAAAAAAGTAAGCCTGCAGTGAAACATGTATGAAAAAAACAAGAATACAGTGTATTTTTTTAACAAATCATACATAGCATTCATCTCTTCTTTCATCAGCGTGTTGTAGGCATCTCCAATTCAATTACATGCAGAGCTAGATAACGCATAAAATTGCCTTTAAGCAAGTGAGAAATCATGGGTGGATCTTCCATAGACACATGTGGTATAAACCAGGTGTCAGATCTATAGTCCAATCCACAGTTATCTATCACTGGAATAACAGTGCCAGGGAGCACAACTATAAAATGATGGCTGATTGATCCTTGTAATTGTTCATTTCTCTGAGTCAGATCTCCTTGGATGTCTTGTAGCTTTTGGCACAGTTGGTCTTCATTGAAACCAGCAAGATCAATAATGTCCACTGATGTCTGACCTTTCTTTAAGTTTAACAAGTAATGGGGAGGCATGTATGTATGCGTAAATAGTATTGTATGGTGATGTGACATGTTTCCAGAGCTGGATGTGGACTGCAAGATATGCTGTATGTGGAATATGCCAGGAATTAATCCAGCCTGATGAAGGCAGCCAAAGAAAAGGGCTCCTAGGACATTAAACATAACAATAACACATTTTATTTTTGTTGTTCTGCTATAACTGGAAACTAATAACACCAGAGGTAACACCAGGGGAATAAGAAAGCGAGGTTCTTGGTGGTTAAATAATGACAGAGCTGTCAGTGGAACAAAATAAAACAGCAATAACCTGGCTTCTTGTGAAGATGGTCTTTCACATTCAGTGTTATGAGGGCTATATTTGGGCCATATCCGTTTCTTTAATAAGTTTAAGCCAGAGAACACTGCAGATAAATGGAGGAGACCAAAAAGCATAGGACTATTGACTGCCAAGTGGGTTATGGGATGATGAATTCCATGCTGTGCAAGGTTGTTTGGGTTGAGATTGTAATGAAGAAACTTAAAAGGAGTTAGGATAATATTCTGTCTCTGGTAATGGGCATAAATGTCCATGTTGTTGATCAAAAAAGGGTAATGTCCAGTATAGTACATTGTATCAGACACTATGAAAATGGTGGAGGTAACAATTGTGCTAGGTAATAGCTTGATTAAATTGATAAAAGATGTGTATGAGAATCGTGACAGGTCATTTTGAGAAGCCCAGTAAAGTACTGGCATAAAAGCAAAACAGAGAAACGTTGGTCTGTTAAAAAATCCAGCTGCCAAGACCATACCGATTAAGTGGTAAGCCTTGGGTCTCTTACATCTTGATGTAATGTTACAGCTGGAAGGGCATGTAAGGAGCAGTAATAGAGCAAATAATATACCTTCTATAGCATTGCTGATCGTTCTTGTGTAGAATACTAAAGTTACATGGGAAGCAGATAGGAGAAGCAAAGCCTTCCATGGATTTGAAGCATAGACTGGTGCTACCCGATAGACAGCATAGTCCAGAAGAAAGGAGAGGACTGTTATGAAGAGACGTGGAAGCACTAGAAGAAGATAGCTATAATTGAAAGCTGTCTGAAACCCCAACTGATGTAGTATTCTAACAATCCAGAAGGCAGTACCAGATGTTAGAAGAGGAATGAGCACTGTCCTACAGGGAAATGCAGGCAAAAATTCCCAAGGCCGGTTGGTATCTAGATCCAAAATGTCACCTGGGTAAAAGAAAAAGAGAACATGATATACAAATGATAGGATATATAAAAAAGCTATTCTTACCATATACAAGATTCACTTTTCTACTTTGTCCAAATCCTAATGCCTATCCCTGTGCATCTTTCCCTGTGAAATAATCCAAATCAATGACACAGCTGGTAGTTAAAGTGTATGTAAACCCTAACAACAAACTTCTCTTACATTTCTTATTTTCTCCCTTTTGGTGTGCTAAATATACAATTTAGAGCTGCAGCTAACGATTATTTTCAAAATCGATTAGTTAGCCGATTATTAAGTTCGATTAATCGGTTAATCGGATAAACAATAAAATGTCGGGCAGGTCTGGCAGTGGCGAGCGTGAGGTGGGGAGGAGGTGCGGCGTGCAGCGTGTGTGGAGCCGTGAACAGGGCCAACTGATCGGAAGCCGATTAATCGATTATTGAAAAAGTTGACAACTTTTATAATCGATTATGTCGATTAGTTGTTGCAGCCCTAATGCAATTGAACAAGTGCAAAAATACAGAAGCTGTTGATTCTGTGAGAAATCCAATGTTATCCCAAGGGGTCTAATTTGCCCTTCTAGTTATTCTCTTGACTTCAAGAACACCTTTCCGCTTTGTTGTGGAGATGAGGAGGTATTCTTTAGCTCAGTAAAACACAACTGGGCAGGGCTGACAGCATTTATTGTAATTCTTGTGATGTTATTCCAGGACAGGCACATTGTTATCAGCCCACAAGAGGAAATTAGGAGCTAAGTGCATTTCTGCTAGGATCAACAGCTATGTTTCTGTACTTCGGTCTTTAAAGGGATAAGTTGTAGTATATAGGATTTTTATTTTGCCCTGATATATGCTTTTAAGACAAACTTCAGAACAGGGAGTAATGGCTAGTCTCTCCAACAGGAACACAGACAGAAATAAAAGCACATTTTTTTTAATGTCCATTCTCATTGAACGTAATGTATTGGGAAATCCAACATTTTACAGTTGCCATTACAACAGGAATACGTGGATTTGTTTCCAATTAGGCACCTGTCCAGGGGATATAGACAATTGCTAGATGTTTTAAATAGGAACTATAGTTGGTTTTAATATAATTGTGACCAGCAAGGTTTTGCTTTATTGCAGAAGAGACATACTGCGCAACTCAATGTACAATTCTGGCATCTCTCAGGTGCCAGAATGAATGAAATCCAGTGCACATGCTTTGGAATTATGTCATCCGTGTCTTGCCAATCAAGATGGCTGAGGATGCCTAACTCAAAAGATGGCAGGTAGAATATATTGATACTGGTGAGGGAGCTTGCGGGCATCACAAGGCTGGAGGCAGAGTTAGTATAGTTGTGATTTAACCATTTTTCACACTACTTGAAACAAAAAAAATGTTGGCTTTAGATATACTTAAACTATTCAAGTAGTAACCTATGACAACCTCAAATAGCCATTATCAGCAGACATACTGATCAGAGTCCAGTTAACCTTGCCTAATTGGTATTGTTTCTTTCAAGGTATGCCAGTGCTACACCTTACCTGCACACAACTTACATCTCTATTTCATTGCCCTAAGCTAGAGCACTTGTGTAATTAGAGCAGTGGTGTTTAGGGGAGACCTGGCCTAAAAGACATTGTAAGATGGTCAATTCTGCATGTGTGTCTGTCCATTCACAATTTCCGTGGCCAGCTATAGATTCACAGCAAATTTTAATACAATCCTAGACATCTCAGTTTTTGTGTATGCAAAGGATAACTCCACAAAATGTATAGTGGTGTGGAGCTTAACCACAGAAACACAAATGCTGGGGGACATTTATCAAGCACATTAGTGACACAATTAGATGAAAATCAGACTGCTCTTGATTTAGCAAAATCTATTTTTTATGTAGTTGTGACCCGCCAACTGCAACAGATTTGCTAAGGTCTGTTACAGGTTTAGTACTGTTTTAGAGACAGAGTTTTTCCTGCAGATGGACTTTAATAACATGCACTAGACCCATACCTGCCATCACTTCAGGAGACTGAAAGAATTCATCAGGATGCAGGTATCCCTTCTGTGGAGCAAGGCACCATATCACCCGTAGAAGACTTAGCGCTCCCCACAGCATCCACTCTTCCATTTCTGCAGTCACATATAATGAATACATCTATTAATTCATGACTCAAGTCAAAGGCATTTCTGTCTTTGCATGAAAAAATCTGTTGTGCAATGATTTCCAAGAATATCCGTTTCAGTAAGAGACCCTGCAGCTTTGAGGACAACATGGAATCATGTTTTAGGCAAAAGGTTTGTTGTAGCTTTAGTTAAAATGATGCTGTCGCTGAAGGCTGGAGTAGTTTATGCATCTATAAACATTGCAATTTCACATTCTCGTTTGTGTCTTATAGTGTCCTTTGCTTTATTATACTGACATTACGTTTGAACATATTTACGCATGATATCAATTATGTTAACACTGAACATATAGGTAGGTGTAAACCTAACGCAACTAAAATGAAGTGATTTATGTTGCATACACAATATGGAGCTTATTCAATACAGCCATTCAAAGAGCAGTGCAATGGGCAAACAGCAGTGACCCACTGCAACCAATCACATTTCAGTTTACTGTAGACCCTGTCAACAATTCTGAGCCAGAGTGATAAAACTTTAAGAACACTGTACACTTTTCCACCATCAAAAATAAACAGTCTGTTCAGGGGCAGCAAGAAATAAAGGAAGTTACAGGCAAATGTGCAGCAGTATTGAAACTTTTATTACAAGGGAATGCGGGGACAGTTGGCTTCTACCTCTAGAAGCCCTGCCTCCCTAATCCAAGATCTATGGAAATCCAGACCTTATGGTAGATTAGAAATAAGATACATTGTGATTGGTTGCTTCAATACTTCATACTACATAGCCATTGTACTTTACAGTGTGTTATTGCATAAGTAGGTATGGGTTGTTTTTTTTTTACCAGCCTTCCTTCTTTCACATCTTATAAGCATTTTGCTTGTGAATAGCAACCATCTAAATTATTTATTTGATTTGGTATTGATAAGGCAAAATTTAGACATAAGCTAAATATCATAAATTACTTCTATTTAACATCTAATATTGTCTTCATCTATATATACAGTATATGCGGTCCATCAGATAATCCATTACCATAAAGGGAAAATTATGAAAAAAATATATTACAGAATTGTCAACTTCTTTTCTTTCTTATCTTGCAACATTTCTGTTAGGCAATTTAGATATGCTAAAAAGGTTTCCATAGACATGAGATGGCTGTGAAATGGCTGGATTGGGCATTGATGTCATGACATTGCACAGGGAAATAACCGATGTGTCCCCTGGTTTAAGGAAGCACTAACAACATTTGGCCGCTCCTCATTTAGAATGGCACCCAAAAGCACAGTACAATAAGTGCCCACAAACCCATGCTGTAGTGCACCACAATGCGCATGCGGTGCACTGTGGTGCACTGCATTTAACACATTAAATTAAGAAATTACATTTGTCAAATGTTGGTCCATTCAAAATAAATTAAATGCCCTAATTCTACATATGTCAATGCTTGAAATACCCCATATTAACATGCATATGGTAATAGACTGCTACAGACCACCCTTAAAGTGACATTAAAGTTAAAAAAAAACTTCCCTCACCATGTTAATGTTAGCACTTACCTTAAATGATGTCTCTTATTCCGATCTTCTTCTTTCCTGATGTTTTCATCTGTCCCTCCAGCGGTGCTGCGGCTCTCCGATCCAGCGGTGTCTGCATGAGGGTGCACGCGTCCATACACTTACCTTGCGTCTCTGCTCGTCTCCCGGCCGAGAATCCGAACTGCGCATGTGCCTGTCCCAAGATACTTTGGGGCCGCCAGATCAGTTTCGTTTTCTCGGGCGGGAGCGCGCAAAAAAAAAAAAAGGTAGTTTAAACCGCTGTTTTAGCTGGTTTTTTTAAAAACTGTTTGCCTATATCTACTGCTTGACAGCAGTAGATATAGGCAAAAAAACGGGAGGCTTTAGAACCCCTTTAATGATTTGGATGATTTATAATAAGAGGTAAGACAGTGCTGCCTGTGGTGTCATGTCTTTGAGCAGTAAGTACACATCATATGCTGCATTTTTAAATTTAATTTTGATTCAGAGCCATTCAGAAAATGAAGATGCCAGCATCTAAGCAGATTTAAATGACCACTATATGAAACAATGCAAAATTATATTCTTGCAACTGTATATGGTTTATGCTCAATATGATAGTATTCAGTCTATGAATACCTTTAATTTTATTTCACATACTTTTATTTAATTTGTCTTCACATGTATATGCAAGCCAAGCTCTCCAGCAAAAGTGTCAGTTACAGGGGTTGGGATAAACCACATAGCACTGGTTTATAAGTGTAAGCTGGAGCTAGGCTTTACTTAATTAGTTATTTTCTTAAAGTGGACCATTACCCCCATTAACCACTTGCTGCAGGTAGCCGTAAATATACGGCGGGCCACAGAAGTGGTTATACCAAGAACACAGCTGCTGCTGCAGTCGTGTTCTTGGTGTCATTTTAAACAGCCAACGATTGCTGTTAAGATACAAGCAAACAGGCGTCTATACAACCGCCAGATCGGTTGTACCGATCGGCGAAATGTGCTGCCCCCGCAACCGTTTTCGCCGGGCTCTGCTGTGCCGCATGCGGGCCCAGGACCGGCACGGCGGGTCTCCTCACAACGATCAGAGAGACATCAGCAGGCTTCCAGCCGCTGTTCTCTCCTCCGATCACTGGACCTGGAAGTGATCTGGACTGGACTGGACTTCCGGTGTCACTGTGTACATTCCCTGGCTCTTAGATCCAGGAGAAGAAGCTGGGAAAGTAGATTTCTGCTTCCTGAGCTTCTTTGGGGTCCCTAGGTGACATTAGGGGTCTGAAAGACCCCTGATGCTGCCATGAAGAGGACCTGTCACACCCTATCTGCTATTACATAGGGAGCTTGTTGGCCCCCTATGTGATAGCAATAAAGATAGTGTAAAAAGAAATGCAAAAAAAAAAATTGTTTAAAAAAAATGCAAAAAAAGTCCCCCGCCCACCACGTGCACGCATACATACATATGCAAATGGGTGTCAGTGCGCCTACATGCAAAAACATTGGAGTGAGAGCAATAATTCTAAAGCCATTAATCACTGTTAGTACAAAACTGATGAGAGGTAAAAGCTTTTAAAGTGTCCCCCATGGGAAATTTTGGGTGTTGAAGTTTATTGCAGCTTCACGGGTGATTTGACTTATTTTTTTACAGATATACCATGACCTGGATGAATGAGAACCTTCACAGACATACAAGGTATGCAAAGAATAAAAAGCCGGCAATTATCTATAAGTATGTGTTTGTAGATTGCCATTACTAAACATTTCTAAATGTGTTTTTGTTTTTTTTTATTTTGAAGATATCGATATAAGTTATTCTTTGCATATCTTATTTTCTTTTTTCTCTCCATTCTTCTCACAGTAGCCATTTATTGCAATATCTCCCTTTACTTCCTTTATGTAAAGTCCATCTAATACAACCCTGTCCACAGGGTGACTACAAGTAAAGGGTTAAGGTAATATGGGGCCCTAGGCAAGGTAGTAGCTTTGCCCCACTCCACAATCTCTTCAACTGATATTGATAAGGATTGCAATAGGCATAGAGCAGCCTCCCTGTTTGCATTGTCTGTGCTAACATGGCCCATCTCCTCAGACATTCACTGCCTACAAGTGCCCCACTATTCTTGCCCAACAATCTCTTGTAAATGTGAACAGCTAACTGTGCTATCCCCTTGGTATATTGCAGGAGAATGACGGTTGGGGCTGACCCCCCTGAACACTCACAAGGATCTGGTGACAATATTGCTGCTCAATTTTACTTCAGACGGAACAGAGCTGTCACCCTATTAAAGGAAGAGGAACAATTAAGTGAGCTACTGTCAAGATCACCAGGAAATAAAACTTTGTTATATGGTGGAATGCTGTGTTAATGCTATTGACACACCACTTCATGAATGTCATTTTTTATTTTAACCATAGCTCTGCTTTGACTAGCAGGGCATCTAGATGCAGAATATGAATTTTGTGAAACTTAGGTTCATTTTGTAGGGTTTCTGTATCCCTAAATCAGTTTAAATACAAAAACAAAAATTATCGCGGTTTAACAATTGGTACCGTTTAAACAACTGTCACCTAATGGTTGTGTTCATCAATAATTAATTAATTGCTCTTGTGACAAATGGCAACGGGGGACCCAGAAGTATTCCTTGACAGTGTCTAAGTGGTGGTTCCAGGAGCCAAGAATCCCTGTGTTATTGTTTGATAAAAGGGTATATAACCATGCACAGAGGATAAGTGTTGTGGATAATGTTAAATGTTAACATGTGGTCCACATCATTTTCTCAAATGTTTTACAATGTAAATGCTGAGAGGGGGAGAGAGCCACACTGGGCAAGTGCTTCCATTCAACATGGCCTCATGACCACCAACAATATTTGGAACTGTTTGCCTGAAATTCTATCTTGTGTTCAATATACCCCAGTCGAAAAGCTTGTCTGGTGTTGTTCAAGGAATAAAAGTAGGTAAGAAACCTTAGCCCTGATACTTTCATATAGACTTTCTGTCTTGGATCTAAAGCTACCTGCTACAGCACTCTACCTTTTGCTGCTGACTTAATTGACAAATATCTGTTTTGGTGCAATATCTGTTTTGGTGAAGTAGCTCTTTAAATACCAAAGGAATAATGAAACACTGAAGGAAACTTGTCATGAAAGATATATGAGGCTTTCCATTGCTGACCTCCTTCTGAAAATGATAGTCGCTTGGTTGTTTTGATGACCCAGGACATTCAATACTTTATAAATAATTTACTGGGTACAATCATGCAGATCAGGAAAGTCAGAGAAAAGTCAGAAGTCCTTATTTCCATATTTCTTATGGAGGTGACTCAAAAAGTTCAGAATGAGAGACAAGAAATAAGCAATTTTAGGAGTGGTGGTCTTTCTGCCCTTTGTTTTCAATTATCAATCTGTTTCTAATTGTTATTGTTGATGCCAAGCTTTAGATCATCAGTCTTGCAGCTAATCCGGTGAAATATATACAACATAAATACAGACG